GTGGGCGGGCGAGTCAGGAGGCGCCAGCTGCCGAGGTCCCGGAGAGGAACCCAGGTGGCGGGAGCCGGTGAGTGGAGCGGTGGCAGAGCCCTGGTGGGGTCGGCGTGGGCGGGAGCGGGACGCGGCCTTTCACTCGGGAAACGCGGGGACCCCCTAGCCCGCGCCTCCCCTCACAGGAAGACTCCGGAGGAACCTGGAGTCCGGGAAAGCCCTGGACTCAGCCCAGCACCCGTCTGCGTCCCCAGCCTACGCTGAGCTCTCCCACAGCCCGAGAGCCGGACCTCGGGGCTGGAAAGGTGACCGCACCTTCCGCCGAACACAGGGAGGCACGGCACTGGCGGATCCAGCCCCCAGATTCTTGACCCGCGGCCCAACGAATTTTCGCCGCATCCGGTACCAGAGGACATAAATATCCCTCTTTCTAAACACCGGCATCCTCTCTCCGCTCTCTGCCACTTTCCTAGAATTTGTTTCCAGCTGTCGAAAGCTCACGTCTCCCAAGTTCAGTAGTGCCCAGTAACGAGTGTGGGGGTCTAAGTGTCTGCACGCACTTGCGGTTGAACCCCCATCTTCGCCCCGCAATCGGTCTTCGTTCTCCTGCAGCACCAGTATTGCCCCCCTACCCCTTGGGGTGTGTGTGTGTGTGTGTGTGTGTGTGTGTATTTCGCGCCCAATGTGGTGATGCCCTCTGCGCGCAGCGGGAGCCGCAACTTAAGGCGTGAGCCCAGTGAAGCGGCCACACACCTGCCTTGAATCAGGGTCGGGCGCTGACACTCGGACTGATTCCTGGCGGTCGCGTTCTGAAGGCATGACGGATCACGCACTAGGCACGGGTGACATTCTGGCCCGCACAACTAATAATACAAGAGCGGGCGAGTTCAGCCTGCGCGGGCCCTATGCTGGCGTGGTGGGCGTATACAGCCCACATCCAACAGTGACCCATTCGCCGCTCACACCAGTCACAGGGAATCTTGTTGCTGCATGCTCAGAGCTGGCGTGTAAAGCCTGATCATTCCAGGCAGTGCGGATTGGGAGCCGGCCGAAATGGTTTGGCCTCCTGGACCTTTTTTCTGCTTTTCCGAGGAGACCCTAGAGATCTCGCAACACCCCTACCCAGCGCGCTGCAGGGCGCCGCCCGCAAAGAGTTTTTCTTCAAGACCTTGCTCTTGACTGGGTCGCTCCTCTCTTAGTGCCTCCTCTCTGTCCAGAACGAATCTTCGACTCCCCGCTGCGCAGTCTACGCAGCTGGGGCAGGATCCGTCGCAGCTTTGCACAGGCAAAGTCCTGCCGACTCCATCTTAGGTGGGACGTTGCCCCTGGGGAGGGATGTGTGTAGACAGGTTTGCGCAGTCGGTGCGGTGACCAGAGACAATAGCCAGGGCAGCGTTCTGTGGCCAGGAATCCGTGCACAGGCCTGGGAATCTTTGCATGCATTTGCTAAGTCGTGTGTGTACACGTACTTTCGCACTTGAAAGAATGGCGTGTAGTACACCTAAATGTGTGTAATTTGGACATTTTCCTGGGGAAGGACTGTAGCTGGTCCAAAGCCCAGAGAGTCTGAAGCACATTGGCCCGGGTTGTTTGTCCAAGAAACCCTAAGGCGATGGTGCAGCGGCTGCATCTGGGGACCACGATCCCACCTGGCCAGCTACTGGGCCACCGACCTGCCCTCCGGAGGCCACAGGCTCTTTCCCGACCGTGACCCTATCTTCTGTCCTTCCCGGCCTTCCCGCAACCAACCCGTGGTTCCGCTACAGCCACTCTTAAGATTCTGAATGTCCATCCTCCTTCCCCCCACCTCCTCCAGCCAGACTCTCCAGTGAGGAATATTCTTGGCTCAACGAAAACCCGCTAAGGGGAGACCCAGGCGGCCCCGGAGCGGCGCCGTGCAGCGCCCAACTCCCGCTCAGCCCCTCCCCCCAGGTCTACCCCTCTTCCCCTTCCCGGGAACAGGCGCCTCCGGGGGGTCCCCCGGGCTGAGAGTGCGTGTCTCTTT